TGAGGGAGGTAACACCTGCGTTGTCTTCAAGGAAGTTGCTTGTCATGGAACAGTGTACCGTTTGTATCAGTGCTTGCAAACTGGAATTTTAATTTGAAGGTAGGCAACGTATAGGTCAGCCACCAGCACAGGATGACAACAACAGTCATGCTTCTCCGCAATCTCGGTTATCGGGAAAATTTTTTGTGAAGGATGCCTCATGAGTTGGACCAGTCTGACAAAGCGCACCGAATGGTCCGTGACTGAGTTTTCTTTTCCTTGTACACACTGGAAGAACTTTTGAGATCTTGTGGTTGGTAGCGAGTGGTGGAGTCCTTGCGTAACTATGCACACATCCCTCACAGGATCTCTCAAGGAGAAAAGTAGATTGCTTAGCCAAAAGCAGATGTGCATGGAAAGAAAGATTTCACTGTGTTATTGGCGACACTTCGAGGCGATGTCGCTGGATAGTGTCACAGCAGTGGCGGTCACAGTGATCACTAATCAACATCAAAACATGGATGACGTCACGCTTGAATTCATTCAGAAAACACTCACTTTCTTTCTACTACTCTGGCAATGTGAAGGCCGCGTGAGGATGAGGCTACGTCAAAAGATCATGGATCTCGAAAATGCGACCACACCCAGCTTATTCTGTTGAGTAGGAAGCCATGAGGGAGGTGTCCCACAAGGTAGATCGCGCCCCCTACGTGAGATCTGTAGTTGGCGCGCCCCCAGGCAAGGTGGTCTTTTCGCGGGCCCCTCAGGCAAGATAGGGGAGGGGCCGCCGGGTATATAAGAGCTAGCCGTAAGACTCAAGCAGAGCTTTCTCTGGTGTTACTCGATCATCGGACTTCGTCGCCGCCTGCAGTGGACGTCGCCGCCTACACTGGACACCGCCGCCTTCGTCGATTCCTACATTGCCATCCGCTCAACACATTCCTACTTATTACTGTAACTTCTGTAAATAAACTTCTTTCTATCATCCGTGTCCATCGCAGAGCAAGCAAGTAGTTGCCAGTCGCATACATAAAGGCCGGAACTCCACTCTTCGGCCTTACAGTTCTTCAAAGTTAGCAGGCTCTAATTACCACCTCCTTTGATCCCTAACGCGCTTAGTAAGCAGAAATTCTGAAAATCGACGTCTACTCGAAAATGAGGTCCACTCTTCTTTTCGTTGTAGATTGGAAGTGTCTTCTCGTGAAGGAAAATTTGGTCCGGAAATTTGGTCAAACTGTTGCAGGACTTTCTTCCAACCCAATAGTATCTTCATTCGTATTGTACCTTGTCAGCTGATTACGTGTTAGTGCGCTCTGAGCGCATAAAGAAATAAATATATTCTATTTTGCGATAGTTTAAAGACAGCTCCCGCGATAAAAGTCTCATGGATAGCTGCTTTCCAATTATGAAACAGCAGCTGATAAGTAATCTCCCAAAGAAGAAAACAGGCAAGAAGCGTTCTCCAGAACAACATAAACAAAATCGCTCTCCCCCTCACAGTTACACCTCCCTGCGGTCTCTGTGCAGCCCCTAGCTCACAAATCTCTCTATCACATCTCGCAGTAGTTGATATCATCCAGTGCAAAAGAAAGAATACAAAAAGAAAACAACAAAAACGCAGAGGAAAAACTCTGGGAAGGAAAAAGGAATTTTATCAACACGGTGTCTGAATTTGTGATTACGGTAGGCGGCGCTTTGTGCGTCGTGGTTTTGCATCACGAAAATTGCGTCACTCGTGTTTTTTACGCGTTTCACCTCGCGAAATGGGTTGAATTGAATGTATATACCTCCAATGAGTGAACTGTAATGAAGGAGAGCAGAATTATCCAGGGGCATTAGCAATGCCCGCCGCCCCAACTAAGAACAAGTGAGTGGCCTCCGTCGGAGGACATCTAGCAAGTAAAGGCGGTCCGACTGAGGAGGAGTTAGAACTAGCACTTTGAGCGGCTATAGCAGCCTCCACGCTCACAATAGAGTCGCGAAAGGTGAACAGTCTTCTAGCTTGGAGGCTAGACTACTTGCACAGCAAACCATGCACTGCACAACACGGAGCACACTTTTATCGCGGGGCTTGTCTTAAACATGCTCGGGTTAAGAAGTTCTGCATCCAACGTACCCAAGATCAGGTGATGTTCGTATCCTTGTCATGTCATACATTTTCCGTTTTTCATCTGAGCCCAGTACCTCGTAAGCCAGTGATACCTGAAAGTAAAAACTAGACTGTTCTTAGCATTCAATCTACAAGTTCGCACTAGGCCTAAGGATATGTTGGGAGCAGGGTATAGCATCGTTGTGTGAAACACATAGAGGGGACTAGAGTTCGGTTGGGAAGGAATCGTATCTGTCGTTGCTGAAAGTAAGGCGAGGGGTCGTAATTCCTTTTAGAGAAAGTTGCCGCGTCGGGAGAGTAAAAAGTTTCTCAGAGCTCGAGGGAAAATTTTTTGGGCGAAAAACTGGAAAAAGTGGGAAACTGGTAGGTAGCTGGTAATAGGTGCTGGGAAAGGGGGCTTGGGGTCGTAGCATTACACCTCCATTTCACACATCACATGCTGTACCCTGGTTGGGAGTCATTGAGTGAAGATGAGCCATGTAGCAAGTAATGACACTTCGGAAACGAGGAGCCTCACCCAAAACTCACAACAGGGATCAGGATCTAATGCGATCGTATACCGCAAGAGAAAAAATAAAAAAATCATTGAAAGAAATGATGTCGACAAAAGAAGGAAGTTCTCAGAAGTACCTGCTGAAATTTTGAAGCCGCTTCAGCTTGATTATCCCTATTTCGATCCGGGTGGTACTTTTTTGATAGGCTGTAGAATGCCGCGCCTTGATTTCCTGAACATAATTTTATGTCTCCCACTAAATGTTAGCATGGTATTGTTAATTTGGTTCGAATTTCATTTGCATCGCATTACAGTCTGAATGCTTGGCCTGCGTGGAGCGACCAAGCCGAACTCAAGTGTAAGGCCAATAAGCTGGCCACAGACCCATGAACCTTTGTATAGGTCACTGAAATCAGATTTAAGGAAATAGCGTGTAGTGAAGAAGTGAACCGCAAAAGCTCAGCCTAGTGCCTTGCTAGATAGACAAATGTTGCTGAAAATCGAATTTCCGAGTGCGTTTTCATCAGTTTGCAGAGCTGCTTCTTGACGCGTTTCGACGTACGGCGACAGCGTATTGAGCGTCTGAGCCTAGCTCAAACCCTGGATCGATCATACGTTCCTTTCCATTCAGAACGTTTGAGACGTTGGCCTAAACGCCCAAACTCTGACGCAAAGTATGACGCATCCTCTCTTTCCATCAAAAGCTAGGCAGAATTCGAAAAAAAAACCGCTTTCTTTTGGGCGAGGATACAAATCACTCCGGCCGAAAACGTTCGATACTCTTCCTGCCCACCCCTCCCCCTGTTAGAAAATGTCTCCATTCCACGACCGGTTATGACCAAGCTTAAAGCCGAAGACAAACCATTAATGAATTGTGGTAGCGTCACACATCGCGATGTAATGTGATCTACCTGCCTTCTGGGTAAAATCCAGTAAACAACTCAACTTTGGACGGAGTTCAAACAAAAACATATTGTTAGAAATTAAATCAGCATCTGAAGAGTTCATCCGTTCGCAGCTAATCATGAAGCGTCATTGAAGAAGAAGAGCTCGAAAGATAACAGCATGCGGCGCTAACGGAGCGGGGGAACCACTTGGCCGAGCCTCTATGCCCTTCCACAGAAATGCTTGGTCAAGCGCAGACGGCCGATTCCCCCTCGGAATAGTCCCGCAGAGAAGACATAGTCTCCACTACGCCAAAGCCTTGACTAGCAAGGGATGTGCAGGCGCGTGCCGAGTGGTTCCTTCACTTCCCCCTTCCCAACTACGTTAGTACCCAGGATGCGTTTGTGAACTGTTTCAAAGTATGGTTTGCTAATACGAAGAAAGGAAGAAATACCTTCGTTGTAGCTCCAGGTGGCACTCCAAGCACAGCGTAGTAATCAACAACCGGTTCTGTTGCAAAGTGACGACGGATGGGGCCGGGTGCCCTCGAGACCAAGAGCCTCCGCGACATGCTACGAGTTATATTGGTATGACTAGAATATGTCCATAAATGCAACCTGAAATCATCTGAAGGCTGTAATTTTGCAAACATAGTGTATCATGCGGTTGATGCACGCGCTGTGAACGATCTGCGGCTAAAAATAGCGATTGACGAAAGAAAACAACTCAGAACTATCAGACTAAAAAGTGACCGTTCACTTGATACTGCGCTATATGAATTATCAAGCCTTTGGGTCAATTTCATATGGTTCCATTCTCGGCAACAGCCTACGAACAGAAACTTAGCACAACTGAACATAAAGGAATGATAAGAATGCCCTTACCAGCAAATCTCTTCCCATCCTGATTAAGAACAAGCTCAGAAAAACCTACGAAGAGGGAATCTGATATTATGAAGAAAACTGTTCACAGAAATAATAAGCTTCTATTAGCTGGAAACGAAGTGGCCTTTTACAAAACAAGCGATAAGCGAAGAACCGAGAAAGCAAGTCAAGGAAAAAAAACTTGCTCGTGGTTTATAAAATTGTTGCCGTGACTGCACCGAAATGACGGCGCCTTCTTAAAATTTTTCTTTTATCGAGTTTATTTTTTTCCTGAAACCGATAATAGCTAGTAAAAGACATGTATTCTCTGTGGCGGTTGGCCGTGTTAGTCAGCGTTGAGTTTGATTGGCTCGCAGTGTCAAGTCCCGGTCCTCCCCACCAGTTGCTTAAAGCGAGCAGATGATAAGTATCATATCGTTCGCCAATTTACTCGTTTTCTACCAGTTTTTGTTCGCATGAGCACCTCACCAAGAAAGCAGTGAACGGCTTCGACGGCTTGACACACTCATACTGCCTGACACGCCCAACCGCCCGCAGCGAGCACTAGTGTACCGTCTCTCAGTCCCTCTACTATCTTATCGAAATATTTGTTTCAGCTTGTTTGCTTTGTTAGCATCTTCTCTACAATCCATTGAGACCCTGCAGGCAGTATGGTACAACATTGAATCATATTTTTGTACGCTAGTTTGTTCTAGGCGCAGACCTATTAGGTTGGTGCATAAGTTCTTTCCCCGACTTTTTTGTAAATATCTCAATAGCGAACCAGCCTGAAGATTAGAGGTATGCACCATCACCATCCACTACTCTGAACGCCAGGCTCGGGCAGCTGCCGCGTCCATGTTCCGGAGGGGCGAGGGCTGGGATGCCAAGAAGCCACAAATGCCGCCACACAATTTCACCACTATGACATGGTTTGGCACTGGTAATGTGGGCTTATAGCCTGCAAAATGCAGGGGTGGCGCGTGATAGCTAGTGTGATGAAAGAGTATCGTGTACATGTCACGCACACGTGATGACGAAATACCAGCATCCATGCAAACGAAATATGGAAGGATCAAAACAGGGATAGAATAAACTTCTGCATTAACCTAATGTTGGGTGGACACTTGGCCGCATTCCTTCCCCCGAAAAGGCCTGGGCTCAGAGTGTTGACGACCAGAAGCTGATAGATAGCCCCGCAGAGGGAATATATGTTCTCTGAGTCTAAGCCTCTATCAGACGAAGTTCTCTGCGTCTAAGCCTCTATCAGACAAGGAATAATCCAGAGGCGCTTAAGAGTCGTCCAGCGACTCCCCTCCCCCCCCCCCCCCGCCCCACATGCTAGGTCACCCTCTTAAGGATGTTGTGACAAGGAAGTCGCGTTGATAAATCCACGTCGCGGCTATAGGGCGTTGCAAATTACGTCGCTTGCGCAGCTCTCGCGTGAGCATCAACTGATTAAACGTGGGAGTACTACAATATTTCAGAGAGCAAAACTGGGTAGTTTCTACGCTTCGCCGTAATGTGGACCTCCCAACCAACATCCACCTTGGCAACAAGCCTAAAATCCTTCACACCTAGGCCATTACTGTATGTTCCAGCCTCATAGATCTACTAATGAAAGTAGCATGGTTACAAGGATATTAGAGTTTTGTTCGCTGCGGATGCTGGAGCTTGTCAGGGGGCAAGGTTTGGCGCGCCCAGTTTCCACAAACTGTTGAAGAAAAGAGAGTAAAGCGACGACAATTTGTTGAAACTGTGTGCTGCACAGCCAAGACCCAGGCCGTCTCCTTCCAAAACGCCCCACCCCATTCGCAGCGAACAAAACTGCATGTAGTAGCTGTAGCAAATGAGACACTTGTTGTAGGTTACCAGTCTGAAGAAAACGCGAGAATACATGCTCGTAAATTATTTATTGAAGCTCTAAGCTACGGTTTACAACCAACTTCCAACAACGCTAACCATATTAAACGAAATAAAAAAGAAACTACTGAACTAGTTCAAGAATTTCACCGGTATAGATACTCTGCTTGTATATTAGCTGCCAACTCAGGTTCCCAACGGTCGCCATTTGTCAGCAGTTTTTCCTGAAATATGCCTTCTAAGAATTTACTTACCAGTACTCATAAAACAGTGCTTCGTGAACTATCCTCTACTTTGAAGATAATCGTCAACCTTGTTATAAATCAGCTCTTCATGAGTCTCGGTTGAGTACTCGAAATTCGGCCCCTCAACGATCGCGTCGACAGGACAGGCTTCTTGGCAGAGTCCACAGTAGATACACCTTAAAACAGAGTAAAATCTCCTTACTAAAACAACTCCTTGCAGCTTCGAGGAAAAGTCGGGTCAATCAAACCTTATTTATTATCCGGGTTATTTCTCAGGGTTACAAAATCTTATTACGAAGATTTGGCGTAGTTGCGCCCATAATTCACTTTGGACTGGGTCACTCGATCCTGGATGTGGATCAGACGATCCGAGTTGTGGCGGTCCGCAAAAACTACTACAACCAATAATGGCTACCAATTTCTAACTACCGATTTCTTAGACAGTTGGCTCGGTTAACTTTTGGGGCAAATCAGTTGAATCCTAAGGCGTTTTCTTTCTCCGCGCTATCGCAGCTCGGATCTGCTGACCCACACCTTTTGATTCATCGCTCTGACTGGGCCATCTCTTTAGTACAGTAACACTTCGGTGATCGCTTTGACACTGACACTGCTGGCAAAAGCGGTCACCTCGTCTCTTGCTCTCACCGGCATCCAAGGTCTCACCGTTTCTTGCTTTTTTGCATGCTCGTCCACCGCTCAAAATCAGTTGCTTGGGAAGGGTCCCCCTTCAGCGTGCTTCCTTCGCTTTTTCCTCACTGGTGATTCAATTATCACCTACAAACTTATATTCGAATCCCGACGCCCACGGACTGCAATCGCGGGATGTGTCTTTAGATTCGATAATTGAATCGCTCTTTTTCCATTCTTTTTTTATCGCTGTGTGACGCGGTAACCTTGAGAATTGGCTCCGCCGTACAGTCATTGAACATTTCCTCACTAAGGCATTGTTCACAGTCTGCGGTTTCGCCGAACTGCGCAGCGTTTCTCTGAACGGCGGTAGTTGGGGCGGAAAGCTTTCGATAGCGTATTGACTGCCAGGTGGGCGGAACGAGTCTGGCGTGTGGGCGAAAGGTTCCTGATAAACTCGACGGCGCGTTCGGCTTAAACCGCGACGTTTTTCGCCTTCGGCGAAACGCTAGCTCGATCGCCCTGGCGTTCTTCGCCAGCGAAAATCGATACACATCTATTGCTTTTCGCCCAACCGCTGTTTCGCTAGGGTCGCAGACTGTGAACAATGCCTGAATTGGACTGACGCGCCGTGACGGGTCAAGAAACCGGCAATCAACCGGTCTTACGCGCACTTTAGCACTGTCTTCTTCAAAACCTTGCTTACCAGTGACTTCAGATCGGAGGAAGGCGGGCCACTCCTGAGTTACAGAACGCGTGCTCGGCTAAAGCCATGAGCCATGCAGGGTAAGAAAGCAAATTGTTCAAAGCAAATCGTACATACTTATTCATGTCGAGATCATACCGAACAGCACGTCGGCTCCCATCTGGACGTGTTTCCGCCTCGATTGTGATCGCCTTAAGATGCGTTGTGTCCCTGATTTTCTACCATAAATCGTTATGAACGTACCGTCGTGATCCCTGCAAACGACAGGGCGGCATTGGCGCGCAGCCATAGCGCCCTTTTTTCCGCTAGTAATGGAATCTTGAGCCCGCCTACAGACTTGATTGAGAGATTGATTTAGGGCTCCGCCTTCAAGACATGCCCGGCGTCAGAAGGCCCTATCGTTTGCATGGATCATGACTGTAAACATGAACAATGACAGTCGCGAACCTGTGCAGGGCAGATAGCTTCACATAGTTTACAGGCGATGCAGCGCTCTTCGCCTGAGGGATAGCGCCGAAGGGCATGCTCTCCCCTGAAACAAACTGCCGTTACAAGAAAGTCCAGTTTACGATGTACCACAAAACTAACCACTACTGTAATGATGTCAGAAGGTACCTGAATCGAGAGCTGAGAGGACCTTTTTCAAAGGGATAGTTGATCGTGGCAGGTTCCATGAAAAAGTGTCCCAGCATGACGCCGAACCCTGGAAGTCAATCAGTTAAGCGACAGCCACCCAGACTGGTCCTCAGTTATGCAACTAGAAATCTAAACAAAAATATCGGGCGGAGTCGGGAACCGACGTCATTGAGGCGTCCCTACTCTTCCCGACTTTTTATCACCTTAAACCAGATAGAAAGTACACAAATGGCGTCGTCCTATGGCTCCGCCCACCAAGCAATCCTGGACAGTGTCCTTTGATTGCTCGCAAGAAACTACCTCGGAACATCTCAGTGAAGAATAGAGTATGAAGCCCATAGTTGAGGTCTCCAGCGAATGATCCATCGGTTTCGGCAACCATACCAACGTATTTATAATTGGTACGCTTTTGCTGAAGCGCACCACCAGGTACAGCTGGCTGGAAAACCTGCTATAGGCAAAAGGAGTAACAAATTACGGTTCTTCGAGAAGCTTACCTTAGGTGCCCGTCCAAATATTCCCTTGGTTATTCGCCCAAGTGATTTCATCGCCATGTTCGCTTATTAACCTAGCAATACAGTATTCATTAGAGAACGAGATGCAAAAGCACAAATGACGCGGCAGCTTGTGGCGCGAGGCGGTCACTTCAAATATCGCTAAGCTCACCAAAGAGAACGCCTGGGAAGCAGGTCAGCGTTCAATTTTAAAGGCAGTTGGCACGATAAATCCTCCAAGACGAGCAGGACTAATACGCCTGGCAGGACGGAATTCCGCGACCCTAAGCAGGCGCTGCATAATGCCTTTTCCAGAGTGCGTGCCCTCAATAAGAGCCCTATCAAGCACAACATACCGACCCAAACGCTCGCCCGCCCCACAAATGGACGACCGTTCCTGACGCTCTCGCTCTAATCGATTCATTTGCTAAGCAAATTATGAAGCGAAGGGATTGGTATGAAGCGGCCGTGATGCTGCATGGATATATGAGTACACATATGCAGCCGTACCTTCGGCGTAGCGTTACGAAACAAGATGTCCTACGGAAACTCGTCGAAAAGTTGATTACTAACACAGTGAGAACGGAGGCTCTTTCTTCGCAGGATTTTGACCGTTTCACTCCGTTCTTTCGCCATTTCCCCACTACATAGCGCCCTACCAGCATTTTAGACCGAGCACCAAAACATCGTGCCAACTGCCTTTAAGAAGAGTATAAACCTTCCAAATGCTTTCACATGACGAAGTGTTGAGGCGCTCCAGTGGATAGCGCCGAATCGGCGAGTGCTGAACAAGCTCTAACGGATCCTGTTATTCAAACCTAGGATACATCATTGTTGGAGAATTTCCGTTGCCGCCGGCGGGAGAAAGGTAGCTTGTGAGGGGATCACACTGTTGGCTAAGGAAGGTTTTTTCAGTTTGGCACTATTCAACTACTACTGCACAAAATCTCAAAAAAAATTTAACTGAAACTTCGATTACACGGATTATTGAGAATGGCGTCAGGCGTGTTTTGGCGGCCCGACCTATTCACTACCAGATAGCTACCATCGTGGTATTTGAGCTAGACTGGAGGATCCGCTTAACGAAATATGGCTTTCAATTTTTTGGAGCCAGCACCACCTATAGCCGCTCTGGCCAAGGCTTAAGCACAAAAGGAAGAGCGGTCACCCTCCCCTCTTCCTAAACGCTTCAGCCTTGCCAGAGTGCCACCCCACACTGTGCCGACGTTAGCACTTGCACTAAACCAGAATGCCTGATAAGACCGCCAAATAGCCCCTAGTATGTAGTCTATCTGGATTTTGGTGAGAAGGTGGTGGCGCCAAGTTGCACCGTTCTGGCGCCAAATGGCGACTGCGCCAGCAATGAATGTCATATCTGTTTAGGACATCAAACACACCTGTTATGCAGCCCAATTTGAATAGGGAATGCGGTGGCGGGCCAAATGCAGTCTGCGCGAATGTAATATTGGTCATCAAGGTAAAGAGTAACCCCTTGGAAGCAATTTCCGCCACAGGAATCTTTGAGTTTTTAGGGAAGTTATAGTTGAATAGTGCCGTTTTTGTCAGTTTCAGGCTCAAACGAAGGCGAAGAAGCCGAAAAGCAGGTGTAGGTTAATCCTCCATTCTTAGAAAGGCTTAGTGATGCACTAAAGTAGAGAATGAAAAACATTAAGTGGTAGGACACACAGTATTTCGTTCACTTGAAAACAGATCAATACGCATCCAAAGCACGCATTTCGCCTCCCTCTCATGCCTATGACAGGATAATCGCTAATAATCATTACGTATTCAAAACAACCACTTTTGGAGGGAGAGTCACAAAAAAGCAAGCTGCACAATACCAGGGAGGAAACATGGCGGTAGCCGGCGGCTTCAACTGGTACGCGTATCGATCCATCCAACATCGCGCGGTCGCAGATTCTGAGAAAAAGTGCAGGAATGTCCGACCTGAGTCATTCCGAGGGCTACCCGTGATTTGTTAATGTCTTTTATACACACTTGATCTGTAGGGAAATGTTGAAATGGAAAACCTTTACGTCGGTTTGGATTTTTTTACCCACAACTCAATTCAAAATGCTCAATTCCACCATCCGAGTCCTCTAGAACAGATATTTGCACTTTTTGTATAGCCTTTAGGACGAAAACACGCAAATGAGTATAATGGCCCATAGAAGTCCCAAAGCGGTTTCAGGTTTTCAAGTCATCGCTGACAGTATGAATCCCAGCGCTAACTTGGAGCAGTTTTACACATGCACTTTGTGCCAGTCTATAAATCCTCAGACGCTTGAGGACAGCTGCACTTCGGGTCAGTTGTGCAACTGCATACCTCACCAAATTTTTTCCAAACAAGGGTACAACAAGATACACTTCAGCATAGAGGCCAGGCCCGGTAAAATCGGCGAAAGAGGTGCGGCATTCGCACCAGGACCCATCTGATATGATGTGGTGCCGCTGTCGAATCTATAAGCTAGGAAATACCTACACTCAATAAGCCCGTGGGCTCTTCTCTTGATCAAACCCCATCAACTACGTCTCTGTGCTAAGCTATCCTTCGAGCCACTCTAGATTCGTCTGCCGCTCTAGGCCGACAGCCTTTCAGGGGGACGGACAAAAGAGATAGCTGGCTTAATTTACCCCCCCCCCCCCTCCAACGAAGTTAGCGCTCATCAGTTTTCCAACAAGACTGAGCATTAGCATTGGTAAAGCAAATTGATGTTTCCATATCTAAAACCGTATGCTTTGCCAACAGGGAATTGAGGTATTAAATGACATCTTTTTAAATCTTTAAGTCTGATGCTTAGGCTCATGGCGTTCTTACGGAGAGCGATATTTTATAAGTAGGTGTAGCCGTGTGTATGCGCTTGATCACCGGCTCTTTCTGGGCAGTGACGCAACCGCACGCGTCACTTCCCTGTAGTTGAGGTTTTCGTAGAGTGGGGAAAGCGAAAACTCTTGTAGAGTTCTAATTGTTCTTTACAGTTGGAAGGAATAGATGCGAAATAGTCATAAATCTATCGATGGATATGCGGTCAATCGTCGGGCGCTTTGTATACATACACTAAAGCTACATAGATAGAGTTATCGATCGAAAAAGGAACTTGGTGAGAGTAATGAAAAGTACGAAAAGGAATTGCTCGAACTGCCAGCCAGACGAGATGAGATCAGGGCCGGTCTACAAACGATATCGTGTGAGGAAATGGCGGATAATTATACAGTTCAGGGCAAAAGGGAAATAAAGAATCTTACAAGATCGCTTATGAAGTTTACTAACCGAATATCGTCTGCGATGAGAGGTCTAGAGATATCTCCTCATCGCATCTTTTTTGCTATTTCAGAGATGAAATAAGAAGAGGGAGAGAGACGTAAGGAAGGAAAAATAATGGAGTTTAGAAGAAAAGGGAAGTATGAGGTTGAACAACGTCACGGTTGACAATGTACAGAGGCCCGGAAAATCGTTAAGATATTTTGGATGAACCTCCTGAGAACAGGGTTAGGTAGCTAAAATTGCAGCAGAATGTTGCGCGTCAAGACTACTCAATCCGAGTGGATTTCGTCCGGCTAAAGCCGAACATGCCAGAACGTGCAAGGGCTAGTAAAAGCAGCGAACAAGTCTTAACACGTAAGCCTTTGCCCGTCTGCAACTACACACAATTCCAAAGTGCACATATCGACGTCCGCGCCGAGATGACACGCTCACCCTCCCACAGACTTGGGCTTTCTGCCCGTTAAATCTCATATGTTCAACTGCGCAGTACTGCTCATTTGTATCTCTTTCGTCGTCTTCATTAGTCCGAAGATCATGCTCTCTTCACAAGTCTCATTTTCATTTCACCTCCGTTAGTAATTGGTTTTACATTCGCTCTGATAGTCCTATTACTTGACCACCCCGTCTTTCGCATAAGTTTCCGCTATCAGTCGTTCATACCTTGCGATACTGGAGGATCTACATAAAGTGAAGCATAAGTATTAGGAGAATCGGTGAGTAGGAGAATGCGCGAAAACATTAGATACGTATCGATTCATCCCCAAATTCTTCGCGTATGTTTGGCATCACTCATAGCTTATAGGAGTTCGAGAATTGAAGAATCAGCGAATCGCGGAAATGATAGAGTCGTATAGGAGGAATGCTTACTTATTTTTCTTTGCAGACGCTGGGGCGTATCAGGAAGGCCTGGTTTGGCGCGACGCTGGCCCACTTTCGACCGATTACTGTCGTTTGCCCAGCAATTGGTGGGGAACGTACTGGCGCTGCGCCAGTCCTCTGCAATAGGCGATTCCCCGATTCGTTTAAACGATAAGTACCTAATCATTTTCGCCCTTTCTCTGAATCCCATTTTCGTCGATTTTTCGATTCTCTAGTTTTGCAAGGTCTGGACGTGGTTTTTCGCCGATTCTCCCCGGAGTGGGGTTAATTAGGCGCTTATCCTATTTTCGAAAAGAAGGCTGTCCCTCTTTATTGTAGGTTATTATACTCCTTATCCCTGAGTCGGGGTAGGCGTGGCATTTGGACATGGCATAGGATGGGTTACTCGTGGGATATTTCAACTCGAGACAACTGCCATCTTGTTCTATGGTGGACAGAGACATGACCACAATTGTTTCAAAATGAAAATATCTCACCAAAAGCACAGCCACCGCCACGTTTAGTTGAAGTACGCAGCCACGCCTACCACATCTTAGGGATGTTCGAGTGTAATTACAGACAGTCTGACCGCTTCCGTGACCTCCCCAGTGGTACCGTGATTGGGGAGACGGACAAGAGTATCGTAATCTGCGGCGCCGCGTGCACGGCGCGTCGTCCGGCGACGCTCGGCAAATTTCCGGTGTGTATCAGGTCATCGATTAGAAGAGCGAATCTCTGGTGAATTCAAGCGGACAAGACTCTTTGTCGGCTTGATGTAGATCTTTTCCGACTTTTCAGCATACAATTCAAATGGCTAGGTGACGCAACTCGTCTCATGTGCGCTTCGTCGCTCGCCACGCCCACCAACGCGGCATATAGCGGTTGTCTTGTCACATCCCAATTGATGGCACGTTTGGTTTTCACATGTTGCGCTTGG